GCGCGCGGGCGCGTTGCACGCTGAGCTACTTGGCCAACATGGCACAACCACATGCTAACTAGGATATTCAATCTTCTACCGCAACGGGCAACTTTTAGTTTCCAAGCTAATACATAATGGTGTGGATAGTTCGTAAGTCACGCGCGCGCGCGCGCGTGGGCGTCCTTTACGCTGAGCCACTTGTGCGACATGCTACAACCCCATGTTAAATTGAAAATCCAGTCGGCCATCGCTAGAGAGCCACTTGCGTTTCCAAGCCAATACGGCGGCCCTTCTGTTGTGAGCGATGCAGAGGTCACAACTCGCGCCCGCGCGTGCGCGCGGGTGCGTTGTACGCTGAGCAACTTGGCCGACATGCGGCAACCCTAGGTAAACTGGGAAAACCAATCGGCCACCGCTAAGGGGCCACTATGGCTTCCAGGCCAACATGACGGCCACTCTATTACGTACAATAAAGAATTTACAGCTTAATCGGCACGCTGCAAACTCATGGTTACTCGGAAATCGAATCAGCCAACGATAGGATTGCACTTCAGTTTCCAGGCAATCGTGGCGGCCCTTCTATTATGGGTAGCCAAGTGTTCCAAAAGTCGCAACTCGCGCGCGCGCGGGTGGGTGCGCTGAGCGCTGGACCACTTGGCCAACGTGCCACAAACCAGTGCTAACCTGGAAATCAATCCGAGGTTCCAAGCCAACACGGCGGCCCTTCTACTTTGGATCAGGGTTCGCAGCTCGCGCGCGCGCGCGGGCGCGTTGCGCGCTGAGCCACTTGGCTGACATGCTGGAAGCCACCGCAAAGGGGCTACTTGAGTGTGCAGGCCAACATGGCGGCCCTTCTACTGCGGGTAGTACGAAAATTCACAACTCGCGCGCGCGGGCGCGCGCGCGAGGCGCCTTGTACGCTGGGCAACTTGGCCGACATGCTACAAACCCATGTTAAACATGGAAAATACCATCGGCCACCGCTCAGGGGCCACTTGAGTTCTCAGGCCAACGTGGCGGCATTTGCATTGCGGAGAATACAAGGTTCACAGCTCGCGCCTGCGCGCACAGGCGCGGGCGCTCTGTACGCTGCACAACTTAACCGGCATGCTACGACCTTTTGCTAACTTGGAAGTCCGTCGGTTACTGCTAAGGGGCCACTTAAGTTTCTAAGCAAACATGGCGGCCATTCTATTGTTGGTGATGCAGAATTCACAGCTCGCGCGCGCGAACGCAAGCGGGCGCGCGCGCGCGCGTGGGCCCGTTGTACGCTGAACCATTTAAACAAAACGCTACAAACTCGAGCTATCTCGGATATTCAATCGGTCACCGCTAATGGGCCGCTTGATTTCCCGGGCCAGCATGGCGGCCCTGCTTTTGCGGGTAGAACTCACAGCTCGCGCGCGCGCGAGTGGGCGCGCTGTGCGCTGAGACACTTGGCCGACATGCTAGAAGCCCATGTCAAATTGGAAAAAGAAATCGGCCACCACTAAGGGGCTGCTTGAACTCCCAAGCCACCATGGCGGCCCTTCTGTTCTGGATAACGCAGAGTGGCGGCTCGCTCCCGCGCGCGCGGGCGACTTGTGCGCCACTTGGCCGACATGCTACATCCCCGTGTCAATTTGACAATCCAGTCGGTCACCGCTGGGGGGCCACTTTAGTTTCCAGGACAGCACGACTGCCCTTCTTTTGTGGATAACACAGAATTCGCAGCTCGCGCCCGCGCGCGCGCGTGGGCGCGTTGCGCGCTGAGCCACTTCACCGACGCGCTACAAACCCATGGTAAATCGGAAATCCAATCGGTCTCCGCTAGGGGACCACTTGAGCTTCCATGCCAACATTGCGGCACCTCTATTATACATAATTCAGAATTCACAGCTCGCGCCGGCGCGCGCGCGCGGGTGCGTTGCGCGCTGAGCCACTTGGCTGGCGCGCTGCAGCCCCGCGCTACCTGGAACGCCCATTCGGTCACCGCCCAAGAACCCCTTCGTTTCCAGGCCCCTTCGTTGCCAGACCGCTGAGAACAATGCAGAAATCACACCTCGCGCGCACGCGCGCGTGCGCGTTGTACGCTCGTCCTCCTCCTCCTCCTCCTCCTCCTCCTTTCCTCCTCCTCCTCTTCCTCGCCCAATCCTCCTCCTCTTTCCCCTCCTTTCCTCCTTTCCTCCTCCTCCTCCTCATCCCCCTCCTCCTTCTCCTCCCCCTCCTCTTCCTCCTCCCCCCCCCAAAGCTTGCGCAGTCAATGTCATCATGCTTCTGCTCGCCCCTTTCCTGCTTCTCCCGTCGCTCCCCCCTTCTTCCTTTTAGTCCTCGTCCTCCTCGTGTTCCCCCCCCCGCCTCCCCCTCCCCCGCCTCCTCATCATTCTTCTGCGCCCTGCCTGTTTCGGCAAGGGCCGCGAATGTGCATTCGCGCCCGGGCGTGCCCAGGCTGACCCACGAAATTCAGTTTGACGGCTTCCCCATCAATTTCTCTTCGTTACACGGAATGTTCCCGCACTTCCCTGATCGAGACATTTCGCCTGGGTGCTATTGCTGGGTGGACCGTGATGGATACGAACAGTAACGAAACCAACTGCGCGATCAACCGCGAATGAAACTACACACGGAACTCCCCACAAACATGTGTTCGCACGTGGCGTTCATCGTGCAACAACACTTCCAGAAGGGCGAAAGAGGCGAAGCCTTCCCACAATAAAATCACGACTTCTGAATTCAAGCACACACAGCCCTTCAGGGCAAAAACAAAAACAAACCAGAGTTCTGGATTTTCCAAACCATGCCTTCGGACAAAAACGTAATTTTGAATATTACATTTTAGTTTTGCCCCCCGGCCTGGCTGTTAGCGTTTTTGGGTGGCCCCCCCTTCCTGTAGACGGCCCCCTCACTAAGGCAAGCCCATCGCTCCCGACAGCACCTTGCACGATGTGTCAGCAAGCGCCAATGGCCGCGTCTTGCAGGCATCACGACAAACAGCTGTGCCCATGTCGGAGTCCTGATTACCCTTGGGAAGGAAGGTGAGGAGTACGCGCTGCATGTCAATAGGGAAATATGTGCTGTTCGTGTCGTAAAGGTACTCACATACATCAAAAAAGTATGTTGGCGGCAGGGTCATTTTGCCAACAGCTGTAAGGGATACCATCAGGACCGGGGGCCGTGTTGGATTTTGCACGGATGGCACGGATAAAGTCATCCCGCTCGACCCTCCACTGTGTCACCTCACTCAGATGCTGTACAGATTGGCAGTGCTCAAGGAAATCCTCCCACCCCGACATATCCTCCTCCTTCGCAGCAAATGCCCCCTCCCAGTAACGAGCAAGAGCGTTGCCAGACTCCTCAACCGTCGCACATGGGGAGCCGTCATCAGCAAGAACGCCCGAGAGGTGCACACGGCGTCGCATTTTGCGCCATATCTGCATCTCAAACCGGGCACGTGAGATGGCCTGCAGCCTCCGAGCCTCCTCCTCCTCACCCTCCGTAGTCGTTGTTGTTGTTGTTGTTGTTGGTTGTTGGTTGTTGGTTGTTGTTTGTTGTTTGTTGTTTGTTGTTTGTTGTTTGTTGTTTGTTGTTTAAGGTTTGTGGTTTGTGGTTTGTGGTTTGTTGTGTGCTGTTTGTTGTTTGTTGATGTCACCGTCCCACCCGCGACCCTCCCCGCGACCCACCCGCGACCCACCCCGCGACCCACCGGCGACCCACCCGCGACCCACCCCGCGACCCACCCGCGACCCACCCCGCGACCCACCCGCGACCCACCCGCGACCCACCCGCGACCCACCCCAAGACCCGCCCGCGACCCACCCCAAGACCCCCCCGGCGACCCACTGGCGACCCACTGGCGACCCACTGGCGACCCACCCCGCGACTCACCCGCGATCCACCCGCGACCCACCCGCGACCCACCGCGACCCACCCGCGACCCACCCGCGACCCACCCCGCGACCCAATTTTCGGCGCATGCGGCGAGTTTCTTCTGCATCCGTTCCAGGTGGAGAACCTGCGACCCACCCGCGACCCAAACCGCGCTCGCGACCCACCCGCGACCCACCGCGACCCACCCGCGACCCACCCGCGATCCACCCCGCGACCCACCCAGAATTTTCGGCGCCTGCGGCGGGGTTTTCTTTTGTATTCGTTCCAGGTGGAGAACTTGCGACCCACCCGCGACCCAAACCGCGTTCAGTGTACAAATTAAAATTTTCGGCGCCTGCGGCGGGCTGTTTTTGAATTCCTTCCAGGTGGAGGTGGAGAACCCGCGACCCACCCGCGACCCAAATAACGTTCACTGAACAACCCAAAACTTCGGCGCCTGCGGCGGGTTTCTTTTGCATTCGTTCCAGGTGGAGAACCTGCGACCCAAACCGCGTTCAGTGTACACATCAAAATGTTCGGCGCCTGCTGCGGGCTGTTTTTTTAATTCTTCCCAGGCGGAGATGGAGAGCCCGCGACCCACCCGCGACCTAAATTACGTTCACTGAACAAGCCAAAACTTCGGCGCCTGCGGCGGTACGCCCGCTCGACGCCCGCGTCGCCCGCGCCCGCCCCCTCGCTCTTATCCGCAATTGCGGGGTGCTAGTTATTCCTTTTCCTCCTCTTCCTCCTCCTCCTCCTCCTCCTCCTTCGTCCTCGTCCTCGTCCTCCTCCTCCTGCTCCTCCTCCTCCTCCTCCTGCTCCTCCTCCTCCTCCTCCTTTTCCTCCTCCTCCTCCTCCTCCTCCTCCTCCTCCTCCTCCTCCTCCTCCCCCCCTGCGCCTCGAGGGCCTCGAGGCGGAGGTGCTCGGCGGCGCGCGGCCTCTGGGCCCCTCCTCGCCGGGCCCCTGGGGCCTTCCACAGGAACGACTATCGGTGGGGAAAGAGCGGGCCCCAGGAAAAAAGGTCCGGACCTTTTTACCAGAGACCCCTGCACTGAGGACGTCGTGTGGGGGGGGGGGGGCGCATCTGGAAAGCGCGGCATCTGGAAAACAAGATACGACGCCGCTTCGCTCCTGGAGGGCCGCATCGCGTCGGCAAACGGCGCGCGCACTGTTCATCCGAGGGTCGCTTCGGCGGCGGCGGCTTCGGCGGATGCGCCGGCGACCGTCTCCTCGGCCGCGGCGATGCTGAGCGGGCGGCCCCCCGGCAGGATGGCATCGACGCGCCAGGCTCCGGGGCCGAGCCTGCCAGCGCGGTGCTCAGCCGCGAGCTGGAGGTAGATGTCCCTCAGGCGTGTAGTGGGCGCCGCCCTGATTCTGCAGCGCTCCACCCCGCCGAAGGTCACGAACACCATCGAGTCGCCATCGAGCGACGCCTGCAGGAGCAGCGCTGGCTGCGCTGGGAGGCCGCACTGACCATCACTATTCTGGCCGTAGGCCGCGGCGGTGCCGTCGCTCCTGAGCAGCACCGTGTGGCGCCCTCCAGCGGCGACCTGCGTGTAGTTCAGGCCCGCGGGCAGCACCAGGAGGTCGCACGGACCAAACAAATTGCAGCCGCAGGCCGCGGCGGTGCCGTCGCTCCTGAGCAGCACCGTGTGGCGCCCTCCAGCGGCGACCTGCGTGTAGGTCAGGCCCGCGGGCAGCACCGGGAGGTCGCACGGACCAAACACATTGCAGCCGCAGGCCGCGGCGGTGCCGTCGCTCCTGAGCAGCACCGTGTGGCGCCCTCCAGCGGCGACGTGCGTGTAGGTCAGGTCCGCGGGCAGCACCGGGAGGTCGCACGGACCAACCAAATTGCAGCCGAAGGCCGCGGCGGTGCCGTCGCTCCTGAGCAGCACCGTGTGCTCCCCTCCAGCGGCGACCTGCGTGCACGTCAGGCCCGCGGGCAGCGCCGGGAGGTCGCACCGACCATCACTATTCTGGCCGCAGGCCGCGGCGGCGCCGTCGCTCCTGAGCAGCACCGTGTGCTCCCCTCCAGCGGCGACCTGCGTGTAGGTCAGGCCCGCGGGCAGAGCCGGGAGGTCGCACTGACCATCACCATTCCAGCCGCAGGCCGCGGCGGCGCCGTCGCTCCTGAGCAGCACCGTGTGGCGCCGTCCAGCGGCGACCTGCGTGTAGGTCAGGCCCGCGAGCAGCGCCGGGAGGTCGCACCGACCATCACCATTCCAGCCGCAGGCCGCGGCGGTGCCGTCGCCCCTGAGCAGCGCCGTGTGGCGCCGTCCAGCGGCCAGCATCTGCAGAACAGCCCGTCGGGGCCGCCCGATCCCCAGGGCGAGGCGCGGCGTGGGCGGGACTGGCTCGAGCCGAGAGCGGGCCGAGCGAGGGGCGGGCGGGGGGGGGCGGGAGGCCGAGGGTGCGCGAGAGGCGGGCCTCCGTCCTCCTCCGTGCGTGGAGGGCCTGGGGCAGGGATGCGGTGGGGGGCTCGATCAGGGAGAAAACATCGACCTGCAATCGGCGATGCATCGCCGATAGATCGGCGATAAGCCCGCGATGGCGAATCCGTGCGCTCCTGCCTCCGCAAGTTTGCCCCTACGCTTCCATGATCGTCTCAACTCGCCCTGGCGTTGATCTTGGATGGGCTGGTGGGCATACGTTTTTTGTATGCGGGCGCGCGAAGCGGGTCGAACGCCGTGCAAGCAGGGGCAGGCCGTGCCACCAGCGAAGGGGAAAACAGAGAGGCGAACAACAGAAACTGGTGGGCATACTTCTGGTACGCGGGCGCGTGAAACGGGTCGAACGCCGGGCTAGCAGGTGCTGGCTGGTGGGCATACATTTTGGTCAGCGGCCGCGGGCGAGCGCGCCGGCGGCGAGTCAGGTCAAAGCGGGCTACGCAGAGACGAATTAGGCAAGGGAAAAGCGGGACGAACAAACAGAGCGAAGGGCGAGGCGACAACTGAGCGCGGCCGAGCTGGTGGGCATACGCGAAACCAACAAGAATGTCTTCGCGCCCTCGCGCCCTCGCGCGGCCCCTTGGAGAGCCCCCACCTCCGCTCGTCGACCTCGGTGCTGGCTCCTGACCCGACACTTTGCGTGATCCGTTCGACCTTGAACGGACGGCGGATCTACTACCGCGCAGAGCGTTCGACACCGGCCGATGTTATGGGCCGCGGGCGGCGTTCGCCCTCTTGCACGCCTGCAGCGGGGAGGGTCGCGGCCGCGTGGGCACGACCCGAGCCTATCGTTAGGTCGGGCGTGTCCCCCTATAGGGGGATTTTGGACGAAAAAGAGGAAATACCCCAACGATGCTCCAACATGGTCAAACATAGTCAACACATCGTCCCCGAACTATTATTTGACTATTGTTTGAATATTCCTCCTGTAGAGGGACAGGCCTGCCTTGAGCCTATCATGCACTAGGTCGCCACGAGAGGGGGGGGGGGCAATTGAAGTTCCCCTCTGGTTTGCTCGATGTCTTCAAAGATGGCTCCAAGAGCGCCCCAACAGCTCCCAAGAGCACCCATATAAAAGGGCCCCAAGAGGCGCCCAGAAGGCCCCAAGAGGCGCCCGAGGGGCCTCCAAGAGGCTCCCCAAAGCTCCAAAGAGTTAGGTCGGGCATGTCCCCCTACAGGGAGATTTTCGGCGAAAAATTAAAAATACTAAAGAAATAAACCGAAATGGTCAAACATAGTTTAAAAAAATCGTCCCCAGACTATCTTTGACTGTTTTTTTAATATTCCTCCTGTAGAGGGACAGGCCCGACTTACACCTATCACTGGGTCGCAAAACTGCGCGCGCCGCGCCCCGCGGTGCGCGATCATCCTCGCGCCCTCGCGCCTCGCGCCCTCGCTCGCCTTCTCTCCTGCTGCGCACAGAGATCACGACGGGCGGTGTTGGGCAATCTTCGGTCTCGTCACGGAGCCCTCGCCGGGCCCCAGGACCGACGCAGAAGTGCACGGGAGGAGCACCTGTCGGGCGCTGGCAGAACTGGGTCTAATGGGACCTTGTTTAGGGATGTGTGCCGGGGGGGCGCCCCCCCCGTCCCAATCCACTGACCGGAATATTGCCGCCACCCGCAAAACACCAGCTACGGCAGACCTGGCTTAGCGATTCCAATCCGTATTGTGGACTTCGGGAACCAATCGCTAAGCGGATCTCCTTGTAACTGGGGTCCCGGCTATACCCGAACCTGGCCCAGGAGGGGTGGCCCAGACCTCCAGGGCTCCCGCCTCGGAAACACAAAAACAAAAAACAGCAGAAGCACGACGCCGGAGCTCTTGGATCTTCGCGCCATCGCGCCCTCGCGCCGCCCCCCCTCGGAGAAGGGGCACTCGATCCGCCCCAGGCCGCGAAGCGCGAGGCGCAGTGATCTTCGCGCCGCCGCGGGAGACCTGGGCGGCAAGCGCGTCGGCTGCGCATTGGATCGTCATTCTGGGGACCCTCTTGGAGACGCTCGCTCCGCTCGTGCGTCGAAGCTGCGTCGGACGGCCGTCGATGTGGGGCGACCTTGAGTCGAACCCGAGTCGAACCCGAGTCGAACTCGAGTCGAACTGGGGTCGAACTGGAGTCGAACAGATCCCTTGGGTGGGCCCCAGGAAGGTCCCCCAAACGAGCACCTACTGCGCAGTCGCGCCGGGGGTGGGCGACGGAGGTCGGCACCGCGGCAGGCCCCCCGTGGGGGCGCCGTCCGGGACGAGGAGCACTGCCAGGCGGAGGGCCCCAGAGCGACGAACGGGAGGGGACCCCACCCCCAAACTTGCGCTGCTCGCCACCGCTTTCCAGCAGCACCTCCTTGCAAGCAACACGGCAAAGTGTTTACACTTCGCGAATTCCCACCAGCTTTGCGACCCGCCGTAGCAGGCTCGGCTCGCGCGCACGCGGACCAAAAAGAATCCCCACCAGCCCATTCAGGAGCCCTGCCCATGAGAGCTGATCGAAAGAGGAACGAAGAGACAAATGGAGTGAAACTGAGCGTGCAAGGAGAGGAGAGGAAGGAGGAGGTTGAGACACCTTGGAGCATCGGAGGTCTTCCTGGAGCTATGGCGGGGCTGTATTGGACCCTCGGGCCAACTCATCGCGAGGAGCCGGGGAGGACCCTCCCGGCAGGGCGGTCCCCCTGTTCTGCGGCGTCCCGCCGGGGACACGAGACGGAGGCAAGACGAGGGTACACTCTGATGTGGGCGAGTTGGGGATCCCTGAGAGCTGGCGGCTTTGCGGGATGTATCGTGCGCCGCGGCTGCTTCGGAACGCTCCCGAACGCTCTGAGAGAGCGTGCCCGAACACTCTGGAACGATTTATCACGTCACAGATCCGAGCCACAGATCATCTCAGATCCGCCACCGCGACCTGCCGCGGTTAGCTTGTCGGGCGTCTTGCTTCTGCAAGTCTGGCTTCCCAAACTTGCTCGAGTCGTGAAGAAGTGACGACGGGACGTTTTTCACAATTGTTTCATGACCCCTGGGGTCGGGACCTCGGGGGTCCCCGCAATGAGAACATCCGAGCATCGTATGTCTGGCTCTCTTGCGAGGGAACACTGGCCGGGCCGCCCCACCTCGTCGAGGCCTACGTGCGATCCTGACCTGCATCTTGTCCCAGGGCGTCTGCCCTCCACGGGAGAAGTCTGCGCACCACGGCGTGTACCTCGGGCCTCGCCGTGACGCCTGCCCCCATCCCCCCTGCGCCTCACCCCCCCGCCCCCAGCCCGCCGCACGGCCCCCCGCCAACCAGACCTCCCAACGGCGAGGTGGCGGATGTGCGCGGCAACGCACATTGAACTGAATGATTTGAATGACTTGGTGCATGTCAAAGGGTCTCCACTCCCAATGCGTCGACGTGTTGGTTGTTCGCAGCACAGGGCTGGCGCCCAAGCGCAACAGCCAGCCAGCAACGTCTTCTACCAGCGTGGGCGCCCCTACAACTCGCTACACTTGACGCTGGTGATTCGTGCCGAGCGGCAAGTATTCCAATCTCCCGTAGACATAGCACAAATTTGCTGACCTTCCAAACTCCTATGCGTGCGTATATCTGTGTATCGGCCCTTGTGCTCGCGATGCTGCTTCCCGTCTCCGCCACGCATGCCGAATATCCTCGGACGCACTCAAAGCCCAAACGCGGCTTCGATGGCACACTTACCAGTGGAATCTAGCACCAAGGTCATCGCCAAGTTCGACCGCGTTCAGATTGTCTGGCACGCTTTCTGCTGCTCGTCATCTGGGCACATGTGCCGATCCTCGCGGACCTTCGGTCGGAACCCCAATGCTCCTTACAGCAAGTACTCTCGATGGCCCTGCAAGTGGAAACTGTTGAGACGCAGATGCGGTGGAAGGTTGAGCTGCCGCGCGTGCTGAGGAAGAGCGCCTGTTCCCGCCCGCATTCCCAGCAAGGCGGGCGCGGCGGTGCAACATCTCGCGAGCTACGTCAACATCTAGGCTCACAGGGCGTGGCTTCACACTTTCCCGGCAGCAGGGGCAGGATGGATTTGCCGCCAACCATTTCTTGAGGCACCGCCCGTGAAATACGTGTGCTCCGTCGCAGGGCAGGGCCCGCAGACGCTCGCCATGTGTGAAGTCCGCAAGGCACACAGCACAAGAGTCGGGCAGCGTCGGAGGCTCGCTGAAGAGACTGTCGAGCCCTCGGGCTGGCCTGCGACTGCGCACACGCGACGCAGGTCTCTTGCCACCGTCACCTGCAGTAAAAACCACTTCGTGGAATGCGGACACGTCTACCTCTTCACTTGAGAAACCAAGAACTGGCTGCAACAATCCTGCCAATATCGCGTCCTGCGCGTCCTGCGCCTCTCCTCCCTGGTCCGCTGCCTGTTGTGCAGCCGAGGGGGCCAAATAAGGCCGGCTCATGCCACAGAAGGCCAGCTCATGCCACAGCTGAGCTCAGACCTTGGCCCAGAACGGCTTGAGCCAAAACGGCCAAGGACCTCTCCATCGAGATGTTTACATACCAGCGCTGGTCCACAGCTCCCTCGGAAGCTGGCAGGGTGGAAGCAGGCGCCAGAGCAACAACAGCAATGTCGATCACCCTCCCAGGACCCAGTCGCAACCAGCTGTGCTCAGGATGCGTTGCCCGAGCCGACGCCAAGCGTGCATGCATGCGTTGGGAGCACAGGATGTTTCGGGTCTGGGGCCCTCTACCCGAGCCCAGTCCCGATGGCGTAGCAGGCTCAGGGGAGCACGATCTGCGGCAGGGCTCGACCTCAACAATGTGTTCCCTTTTCGTGCTGTTTTCGTTCTCCCTCGCTCTGGCTTCGTTCCGCCTTTTGCTGCACAGCGATACCAAAACGATA